TTTTTTTAAGAATTATTAGAAATTTTTATTTTTGTTTGTTAGGCGGTAACATTCGTGGCTGTTCATGAAACGAGTACTTTCTTTAGTAGACGCGCATATGTGGCAAGTTGTCCCAATGTACTTAGCTTTTTTTAATTTCGATATGTTGTAAAACTGTAGTTATTATGCACATATAGGAATAGTTAAAGTTTTACTACGCCGGAAGGGCATATTTTGGCAAAAAACAAGACTTCAGGTTTTAAGTTGTAATAAGGAAACTATACTAAGTTAGATCCTATAAGTAATTTTTAACATTATATAAGATTAATTACTTATAAAAAGGACCAGAACAATAGGTTTTAAAACTGTTTGAGTAATTTCATCCAAAGCGGCTTTAAAAAACGTGAGTGGCATTACAAATATATTATTTCCTTCATAAAGATATTTAAATTTTGTATTTCACGGTCAATTTTGTTGCACCTCAGCTTTTGAGAACTTTTGTATTACGCTCTTGCATGCCCACAACAGTAAATTTTTCAAAAACTGTGAGGTTGCAATAACAACTGTTAATTTTTATTGTTTACTCCCCCAACCTTTAAAGAAGGATGTCCGGGAACTAACCGATAATACTTAAAAAGAAGTTAGTACAATCGTTAATTTTCAATTTGTCTTGCAATTTCTTAGTTCCACGCAGTCAAACTAGTAAAAATAGAGAAAGGGTGCAATGAGCGATAAAGCTACTATTTAAAGTTTATAAATTATCCAAAATTATTTTTTTAAATACCTCTACTGTTAGATAGAGCTTAAATAGTTCGCGTTATGAAGTATACTAGAAAAATAATAAATGGAGTTGATAACAGATACTAAAAGGTTAGTAAACGCTTCAAAAATTAAGGAGTATAGCTTTGGGATTTTACTTCAATTCTGTTAATAAAAACAGAAAAAAAGAGTGAAAAAGAAGAATGATAGTTAAACTTTTAAACGCTAAAATAAAACTATTTTTTTAAAATAGCGTTTACTACAAAAACACAGGTTTAGTTATAAAGCACTACAAATTATGGAAAGATTTTCAAAAAACAATTTCGCTTGTACTTTTATTATATAGATATTGCGCATCTTGAACCATAAATCCTCCTGTATTAAAATACAATTGTAAATTAAACAAATTTCTTATTGCTTTTACAATCGCGTTACTTCATAAATGTAAAATTACAGCTCACTTTAATTTAATCAGAATCTTTATCTTTGTGTATATTATATAGTTTGTTATATAAAACTTTTTTCTAAACTCTTTGCTGTACTTCATTAAGTCAACAAAATATGAATACGCGAGCTCTCCTTTTACGGTCAAAACCAAATTAATTTAGTGTTTATTTTCTTTTATGTACCGGCATACCACCGTCCCTTAAGCTGTTAAAGCTATTATGTCTGAAAAATTGGGCCCAATTATTCTGTTTCACGCGGTACATTTAAAGTTCCCGAAGCCTGAAAAAATTAAGATTAAGTTGGGAGAGCAACCCCCCCCAGTTACAGTTTCAACTATTTATTCAAAAAAAATTGTAGCTTAAAAGAATATTAAGTGGAGAGAAACATCTATTTTGATAGTAACAAACAAAGAAATAAACATTCGCACTTTAAATTAGTTTATTAAATTAAAATCGTTTAACCCGAGAAGAAGAGCTAAGAAAGATATATAAATTGAGTTACACTATTATTTAAAAACAATTTATATATTTTTATATATTTATTGGATACCAAAATGTAGCTGACGCTCAAAATAAAATGAAAACAGTAAGAAAACTTTACACTAACTCAAAAAATTATAAGCCTAAAGTAAAGTAGTAGACGTTACCTATGGGGCAATGGGACATTGACCTGACGAGAGGCCTTTCTATTCAAATGAGTAGATAAATATAGTCATTGATTTGACAAAATTCTCCTTAACTGTGTAAAAATAAAAACTAAAACCACAAATAACTTTAGCTTTATAAATTTTTATAAAACAATTTTAGTTAAACATAATAGGTTTTTTAAAATGAATCGAAAGTTTTAAATTCAAAAAAAAATTCGTTTAAAAATAAATTTATAAAAATTTTTAATATTTATAGTTACAAGGCCTCTGCTTAACTTCTTAAATAAAGTATTATTTTATATACTATGAGCATTTACAAACTGAAGACCATTAGCTAAACTGCCTCTAATAAAAGCTTAACCTTAATCTATTTACGTCCAAATTAGTAAAAACTTGAAGTTGTCTTTCTGCACCCCATCTGAACCTCTTCTTATCTTCATTTTTTAGAAAACTCGCTAAGTTATTTATAAAGAAAAATTAACAGCTGAATTTTAATTCAGACCATGTAAATTTTTTTTTTGTGAACGCTTACATCTATAAAATTTTAACACTTACTATCTTAACTTAAAATTATGGTGAGGTACAATAAAAATGCTAAATAATTGAACAATAATGGACATAAAAAAGAATATAAATAACTTAACTAGGTAACAAATAAGACTGGCTTATAACGGGAAGTATTAAAATTAAATATTTTTATGAAAAGAAGAACTAAGAATGCCTCATTACAAGATAACTTTACTACTTTCCCTTAAGAGTGCTAGTAATAATTTTTCTAAATTTGAAAGTCGTCCTTAGAAAAACTTGGGCTTCCAATATAAGTTATCCTGTAAATCTACACAGTTTATTAAAGGCTTAGGGAAAGTTAGTTTATAGACACACCTCTCTTTAATAATAAAGATAGTATTTTAACGCATTTAGATATTTACATAATTTAGATTAATTAACTAAAGAGAATTTCGGTTTGGTCTGTAATTATGTTACTATTACAAATTAAAATATAAGTAAAAAAAAAGATGACCTTATCACCTAACTTCCCCTCCGATTTACTGTTTATTATAATATGCAGTTGTTAGGGGTACGTATCGCCTGCTCGTCTACCAAATTATCTAATAAACTTAAATCGTTAACGCGCCGCCGGTTGATATACCTGGCCGCTGCTACACATAAACTCGACGACAAACTAATGCTAAACCGTTTCCACAAGTAATTAAGTTAAAGCTGATTGTTTTCCACAACAGTCGCTGAGAGACAAAACTGCAGGACGCATTTGTAGCGGAACGACAAAAAAGGCTATCTCTTTAAAGCTTTGTCAATCAATTAAAAAAAACCTCTGCAACACATCAACCCCGACATTTAGGAAAGACGCGATGGTGGCTGAAAGCGACGTAGATAAGAAGGGTTCTATGCCGACTTTCTCACTGCTCAGTGCGTGTCTCCGCACTAATCTCAATCTTTGGGGAGAGAGTTAATAAATCAAGCACAGAGGATGAAATCGTTAGTAGTCTCCACACTTTCGCAACGGATAACACTAGTCCTCGACGGCATTACTAACGAAAGGCTACCAAAGTTGTAGCGATTAAAGATTTTTCCAGTTTCGCAAGTGCAATGTAACACGTTTCTTAACAGACACTTGGTGATGCTCCCCAAGACTTCATTATTGCCTTATTAACCTACTTTCAGAAGTGAGTAAAACGAGACAGGCTGTTCTACTCGTCGACTGAAAAAAAGTTTGCCAAATACATGAAACACTATTTAAAAATTCAATCTTTAAGTTTTGAAGGGTCACTCGAGGACACAACAACTCTTGCTCTTTGGTTAGTGGAAAACTCGGAACTTCCGCTTTAAAAAATCCACAATTATCGCCTTTCTTCGACTTTGGAAAAACCGTTAGCCGCGTGTGGCATGAGACTCGTAAACAACGCGCATTATATCCTTTATGATGCTTTGCAACATACTTGCATCGTTGTTATGCGGTACATTTTCCAGAAATTAGTACCACACTGACGTCAAACCATCGCTGAGGCAAGGATCTATTATAGTAGCTAGATTAATATTAAATAATTTTACCTAGTATTTATATGTATGCTACGTCCCTGATCTTCTGGCCGTGATGTGCATAACATTAGAAGCACTGCGAATAATATTCACACCTGCGTCGCACACTACCAAAATTTTGTGTGAGCGTAGTTACATCAAAGATTGAAAAGTGAGTCGTGTCGGTCGGACTGGGACCCACGACCTTGAGGATGGGCTTCAATGCCCTCAACCGCTTAATCAGCTTAGGCTGCATGTATTCTCCAAAAGTAGATAACAACTCCCCAATGCACTGAAAAGTAGCGAATGAATATAAAGCTCGCCTCCCGTCACTCAGTGTAGTCGAAAAAAATAGCAAGCAAACTACCACCGGGTGAACCCGAGGTCACATGGAGCATCGACCTTAATTAATTTGCGTGGCAGCTGCCAACTCTATTTCTTGTATCGCTCACAGTTATGATCTATTATAGGAATTACAAGGTTTTTATATAATGCAAGCAGCAGTTAGCGCGCCTTTTAAGGTACCGGCTGCATCATATAGTAAAGTAAAAGTCGACGGAGGTAGACCTAAGGAGGGGGTGTCACTTTTAGCGCCACCAAAAATTCGACTGGTTTTGTAAATGACCGTATAAGAGCTTGACTATAACCTTGCTTTTGCTAAATTCGAGTAAGATGGGCGGGTGATTGTTAATTAAAAGTTCTTTTTTTGCGGTACATGTTTTGCCCTTCTCCATGTGCCCCTTGCTGGCACAAGCGCTCTTAGGTAGCGATTGAATGCTTCCTTCTCAATTTTCTATTCGGGTTTGTTATTAAGCTGATTTCTGCCAGCATCCTGCTTTCTAAATTTGGAATGATATTCACAAAAGACAACCCCAGTAACACCCATTTTCTTCATATGTACAGGCAAAGGGGTAAGTGGTATTGTAGAGCATCAGACTTCTGCCTGCCAGCCTTGAGATGTGCCACGCTTAACAGCGTGCCCATCATCTTCGTCGACCACGCTGATGTATGTTGAACTGTTGCTGTTCTTTTAAGGAAATTAAATTTATGTGAAATAGGAAAGAATTCTGACTTATCGCTTCGCCATTCCCATTTACTTTAAAACTTTAGCTTTTAAGATTTTAGTGGCATGATGGTAAAACTTATTACCAAAATTATTGCTAATAGCAGTCAAATAATAACTAAAGCATTTATTGATGCTTACAAACAAGGTAAATTATTTATTAAAATTTGATTATTACAGAATTAATAAAAAGTTTTTAATTAAATTTTAACTTAAGAAAGTTTTTTGCCCTAGTTTTGTTAATCTTTATAAAACTTTTTTAATTAAAGCACGGAATAAACCAAAAGTTAACTCTTCTAACAGCAGTAATGTTGAATCTGTTGCCACTGAAGCAAAAAGTAATTTTTTTTATATAATTTATGTGTTTTATTTAGAGACTTATTTATATATATTAACTTAATTATTTTAGTATTATATTTTAATTTTTATAGTAAATGTAGTAAGGCTTAAAAATTAACTCTTCGAATTTGTACGTTAGTCCCTTTTTTTCTATACTATTATTCAGTCTATAAGGGATACTTCATTAACTTTTATTTTTAATAAAGAATGGATTTTGGGGCGAAGCGTTAGTGTACCCTTAAAAGAAGCCAGACAAATATTAAATGTTAGTGAAAACGCTTCCAAAGAACTCATTGAAAAAGTTTACAAATTTTTATCCTTTTATTTAAAAATTTGAAGTTAACCGTAAAACGCCCTAACTTTTACTAATCTTTATTAAATTTAATGTAAACTTAGAATTTTATGCATTTATATGAAGTTAATGAAAAATCTCATGGAGGATCTTTTTATCTTCAATCAAAAGTTGTTAGAGCTAAGGAAACTTTAGATTATTATGTAAAAAGCCAAGCCAAGGAAAATAATAAGAATTGACTGCTTTACGCTGAAAGTTTTTGAGAAATTGAAAATAATCTTTAAAAATTAATCATACAACTTTTTTTAAGTGATTTCGACTTTCTTAAACTGTTAATAAATTTATTTCTCCATTTATACTCGAATTAGTCGCTGAACTCTGAAGTAAAATCTTCTGGAATTGTAAATTTTGATTTGTTTGTGTCTTCAGATTCTTCACTTTCGAATTCTTCTTCTAAGAAAATATCGTCGCTTATGTATTCCTTAAAGTTGTCACTTTTACCAGCATTCTGCATTGCCTCCACTTTTATGTCTTTGCCGATTTTGTTTTGGGCATTGGCAATAATGTAATTAATTACATTCTTCGATCGAATCTTAGTGTAAAATTAATAAAGTTAAATTTTTATTTATTAGTTTTTTTTAAAATATTAATTCTTTATTTGCAAATTCTACTAAGTTAAATATTTTGGATTGGGCTTCGGCAGTAAAGTTTAAAGTTAAAGATTTATTTAATACTTTGAAAAAATATTAAAATTTATAACAAATATATATTTTTTTAAATTGTTTTTACTGTTAAAATTTTACTGGATAAATAATTCAATTTTATATTTACTCGAAGCCACAATTTTGTTTATTTAAAAGTTTTTTTTGTAATTTTTTAAATATTTAAAAGTGTGATAGGTTTTCCTAACAAAGTACTTTATCATATGCAAGATATGATATCGTAATATCGAGAAATCTAGAAAGTCATAGCTAATACTGAAAATAAAAGAAAATTTATACACTACTGATATATAGCTTATCGTGTTTATCAACTTTCATACCCCTTCATGGGCGAAATTTAACTCATATTTCTATCTAATATAATAAAGTTTTTCTTATTTAATGTTATTAAAAAAGTTTATATTTTTTATTTTACCCATTTCGTTCCTTTTCATTATTTTATAATTAACTATTGACAGTATTACCTGAATTTATGAGTGAAAACTGATTTTGCAGTGTCCTAAGAAATTTTAAATTTTTATTTGTTGTTGCGAAATTAAACTCGATTATAATTAAATTAGATAAATTTTTTGGTTTAAAAAAGTTACTTTTTAGAAGGGAAGTTAAAATTTATTGGATAAAATGTCCACTGTTATATAGAATACTCATTTCTATTAATTAATAAAAATGTTTAATAGAGCATGAGTAATACTTTTATAGTCTAAACTTTTAAAGTTACTTCATTATATATAACTTACGTTTTTATATTCCTTTGAATTTCTGTAGTCGAGAATTTTTGGTTTTACTTGATTGATATAATTACCTGCTTGAGTTATTTTTAAAACGAACAATAAAGTTTAAGGCCCTTAAAGTTTTTAAAAAAAAAATTATTATAATTTATTTTAATTTTTGGGACCTAATTTTTTATATAAAGAAACTGTTGTATACCTAAAAATAGTTATTGTTTTATAACTATAATAATACTCTGTTAGTAATTATGCGAGCAAAAATGTGTTCTAAATAATTTTTTTTGAAAAATTATTATCTTACTTTCCTAATAAGAAAGGTATATATGTTTTGCTCTTCTATAATTTAAAAATTTTAATTACAATTTTAAAGGCAGTATTGTGATTTAAATAACTTTAAACTGGTTTTAAAGTTTTTACTAAAGTTTAACATTTTATAGTCTGTGTTTATGTTTATAAAATAAGATTAGGCCGTTATAAGTAAAAGATGTAGTCATATAAGATTTTTTAAATTCCACTGTTTCATAGTTGGATAAATTATTACTTAAAGTTTATAAAAATTCTCTTTATTAATATATTTACGTAAACAGCAACCTTTTCATGTTAACAAAGTTAAAGCCCAAGTAGTTTATTTAAGCATAATAAGAAATGGTTGTAAGTTTAAGTTTTGCTATAATTATTAAAATTAAATTTCTTTATATAACTTATAACTCTCAAGTTTATAAGTAATTAACAGTAATTCCTTTTTATCACTTTGCTGTACAAGTCAACTCACCTTTTATTTCTCCAATCGATTCTTGAAAGTATCGATTATGGTCTCTTGCACTTTCTCTAAGTAACTTTTCAAGTTCTTCTCTTTCTTTTTGCGAGGTAAGAAGCGTAATATGTCTGTTGTACAACTTGTAAGCAGAAGAACTTTCTTCAGTTAGTGCGTAATTTTTAACATCCGGGCCTTTAATACTCTCTAGAAAGATCTTGAAAATTTATCTTATTTACCTTTTTTGCCTAAATATACCTATAAAGTGTTGCAATTCGCTTCTTATTTCTTTAAAATCTTCTTTAACACTTTTAATTAATAGTTCTGCCTCTAAAAGTTCCTATACTTAAAAGATATTTGATAAGGTTAAAAGCACATGAAGTTAAAATAACATTTAAAAGAGAAAGTAATTCATAGTCTTAAAAGGAATCAATAACGACGACTTGATTAAAAGCACACACCTCTCTCCAATCCATCTTTGGAATAATATTAGGAAAGTAATAACCTTAACGACGAAAAATAGCTATAAGTATTTTATTACTTTAAAGTGCTTATGCACTAATAATGACACTATTCCTGTGCCAATTCTGACCAGTTTAAGTTAATATGCTTAAACTGTCTCTTTTAAAATATATTAAATTCAAGAAAAAGTAAAAAGCATATAACTTTTTAAACGCTCAAAGAAAAATGAAAGAGGCACACAGCAATAATACATTAAGAGTACACAAAAATATCTAATTGCTAACCCTTTACGTTCATAAATCAATTACCAAATTAAGCACTAGTTTTCTTCATACCCTCAGTGCTGTATTTTCACACGAATTTTTTTTTTTTGTACTATGCATCACCTTCTTCATGTCTTTAGATAGTTTAGTAGGGTATTTCATATATAAAAACATTTCCTTCTGGTAATGTTTTTTTCTAAAAACCAGGTAATTTACTTTGAGCTTATAAAGAGGATAACTTAGTGATATGGCCATGGCGGACGCTAATCTAATAAACTTTTACTTCTCTTATCTCTGCCTACGCCGTGTTGGAGGCGCTATAGTTAGAGCTTAAGAACTCTTTGGGAGCCTGAAATAACATTTAAAAACAATAAATCCGCTACGAAACTGACTAGCACCAATTACTACGAAGTTCATAATTACACATGTTTTAATGGAAATTATCAAGTGCGAGATTAAATAAATTATGGTTATAGGATTTTTATTGTAAATTATATAAACTATAGAAACTAGGATATAAGCATATGCAAGTGGATTGTATAACAGTATTCTAGTAATAGATTATAAGGAAATGACCGCCCTATTAAGTTTCATATATATGAACTTTTAAACGTAGGAAGAATATACGTCAGCATGGGTGCTAGACCAGCTGAAACAAGATGCAATGAATTGCGATATCCAGTAATAATTAGTGAAGTTTCAAAAACTCTTGTAAACATTCTAGGTTCATGTGTATCTTAAAAATGAACTCTTTTTACTAACCCACTAAGATATACTAGAAGACAAGCTTTTAGCTTTTCCTAAAATTAAGCCTTTTTCTATTGGTTAATAGTTTATTTGTCTTCTCTCATGGCCTAGGTCTATACACGATCAAAAATGATGAGTGCGGTTACATAATTACTTAGTTTTTTGTAAGGTTTCGCATTATTGCATAGACTAAATAAACCGAGCGTTAGTTATATTTAACATGGATTAAAAATTTTTAATATTCATGCTAGTGGTCTACTAACTGCTAAAATTGTTATTTTTGATTTAAAATTATATGGAAATCAATCTTAGATACCACCTCCAAAAAAATTACCTGTCCGCTAAAAAGAACTTAGTCATTTTGAGTAGTGTTTTTATTGAATATATCACACTAATTTTTTAAAATAATGTTAATATTTAAATTAAAAATGGTGTAAGACTTTATATTTTTTAATTTTTATAAAGCAAGTTACTCTAAAGTACAACAAAAATATATAGCAATTAAAACTTACAGAAAAAATTAGAAACAATTAGTACGAGTTGGTGTAAGGCGGAATAAAAGATTAGAAGAAATATAGTAAATCTTTTCTTAGATAATAATGTTTGCTTAAATTTTTTTTTTAAAAACCATTTCAACGTTTTTTTTTAACGTACAAACGAGTTATCTTATCAAATCAAGTTGTAAGTTTTAAACATTTCTACAACGATATTTTATATACAAAGCTTATCTCTTAGTATTCTTTTAAGTTAATGAAAAAATAATTGGAAGGCTATTTTACTTTAATTATAAAATACGAATTTAAAAGCTAACGTAAAGTTAATCTAAATTGTTATGATAATAGTTGACAACACCTCTACGTATTGAAAATAGCAAATTATACAATATTTATTTAATTAAAAGTTTAATAGATTACAAACACTTTCAATACTATGTAACTATTAACATAGAAATGCTGATGTGGTTAAGACTTTTTTCACTAGTTATAAAGTGGTACTTTACAAAGATGACTTCTTTTATAAACAACCTTAACAAATCGTTAAATGACTGAAAAAGGAGTAGTATCATAAACTGTTAACTACTTTAACCTGTTTATATAATAAATCTTTTAAATCATTAACTACTAAGTACTAATAATAATAAAAAATTGTATATTTCATTTTGGGAACGAAAAGGGACCAAAAAGTTATTTCTAGGATACATGAGTAAATTATAAAAAATATTGTTATTGGTTAAGACAAGAAAAACGGGACCATTGAAGTTAATTGAATAAAAAGATTTTAAAGAAGAGTCATGAACTTTTAAGTATAATGAGACTTGCATATACTGCCATTATCATATAACAATACTTTGACTAGCTTTCGAAACACCAGAAACATAGTAGGAGGGCAGGACACTAACCGTCCTTGTTTTTAACAAACTTTTTTTTTACAAAATAAACCGGAAAGGTTTGAGGGCAACTTATAAATATTACTTAAATAATAGAACTTTTTTCTTTACAGAATCTGGTAGTAAAAAATGTTAAAAACCAGTTTTAGCTGCTGAGATTGAAAATTAGATGGTTTAATTGCCTTTATAGTTATAAGAAATACAGCTGAATAGAGTATTTGTTTCGCTCATGTAAGAACGAGGTAGGTTCTGGTTTCATTTGTTTGTAACACGCTTATCTTCGTGTCATGCCCCGGATTTCCTAGTTACCGCAATCACCATTAAAGTAAAGGGATGGGACAAACGTTGTAGGCTTTCTAACAAAACTAGACGCGATAGTGCACTAAAAAGCATAATTAGCATCTCTTCTATCTGATTACAGATTTTTTATTCTATTTGCAATTAATTATATCTAAATAAATCCCTAAACACTTTTAAATTTGATATATTTTAAAAGAATTTAATTTTATTTTAATATTTTATAAGCCTGCAAGGTGTAGGCTATTGATTTTTATGTATTATTTGCAGTGATTATGTTAAGGCCCAATAATTATATTTACAGTTGAATATTTTTTTGTATTGTACTAGTACTTACAATTGTCGTTAAAGAATTATTATGCAGCAAAGCTCTTGTGTTAAGTTTTTAAGTCTTCATCCTAGTATCATCTTACTTGAATTATTATCCAGACCCAGCAAATTAAAGAAACTAAATTATACTTTTAGTACTGATCTTTATTAAGTTACCAAGTTGTTAACTGAATTCAAACTAAATACGGAAACCTTTTTAGTAAAGATAAAAATGTAATGTCCAGAAATTAAACATTATTATTGGATACAAAGTTTACTAATTTAGTTTGTGATAACCTTTCTGCTTTTAAGGCATTTACTTTTTTATGCTAGAGAGCTGTCTCGTAAAGTAAAATAAGTCAAGAATTTTTATCTATTATATATAAAGTCCTAATCTTTCTCTGAACTACTTCTCTTTCTAGAGTTTCTTCACAAAATTTAAAAATTAGAGGGGTTTTCCTTATACTATTATAAGTCTTCACTGAAGATTTAGCCAAAGTAGCTGAATTTAAATCACGTTATGGTAAAATAATTGGATAATATTAAGCTTTTGAAGGTAAATGGTAATTTTTAAGACGTTTATAACACCTACTGAAGAAAAGCAACCACGTAAGGTAGAAATTACCTTGTACTCACACCTTCCTTAATTGATTTTAAAAAAATATATTTACAAGCTCTTTTGTCAGTTATAAATATATATAAGAGAAACAATACTTATAATATTCTCCTTTTTAGGTTGTTGTTAAAGCAAACACGGAATACAGCAACAAGTACTTCAAAATCACGCAGCCGAAGTTTTCTAATGTTTTTTCACGTTTAAAAGGTATAAAGTAAAAAGGAAACTTTTTTGTTATTTAAATATTTTTTATCCTTTGATATTTATAAAAATAAGGCACGTTGACACGGGATAAGTACAGAATTCAACTCGTTTCTGCCGGTGAGGATGTAATTGTTGCACAGGTTCTCGTTGATGCGTAAAAAACTGTTACAATCTTTTTTTTTATTTTTAGGAAATATCTTCGATGATATTATTTAAATATTTAAAAAGCGCTTGATATTAAGGAAATGAAATAAAAAATAAAATATTCTAGTGGGCTCCTATACGACACTTCGCTTGTTGGGTTTAAAGCGTTACGAAAACTTTTAGCTGGAAGCCCCTCTCTTTTATTCTTAACACTGGTGGCAAGGGCAGCCAGAAGCAATACTTTACTCTTTTTTTTAGTTATATACTATAAAAGTATGTTCAACTTAAACTTTTTGTTAAAGTTATTAAGTATTTTTTAGTTTATAGTGTTATTTTTACTTATACTATTCAGAGTTTTGTAATATTAATTGTTATATTGTTTGAATTGTTTGGGCTCCTGCTCCGGATATGAAAACAAAATAAAACCATTTTTAATTTTTAAAATGAAAGTGTATAAGTATATCTTTATTTCTCTATTCTTGCAACAACTGAATTCAAAGCCAGTTAAAACTTTTTTTTTACTTTGTTGGGCCAAACCTAGTTTACTTAGCTTAAGCAACTTTTTTTTTTATGATAACTAATAAGGCTATAGCCCCCTTTATAACAAATTTAAGCCACATCATTAAATTAACTCGTAAACTTTGACTTAATCTCTTACGACATTTTAATAAAATTGAAGCTTACGTTAAATTTCATAGTAAATTTTTAAAATTTATAATTTTACAGGCCGAATCTTTTGAAGAGATTAATGCAGACTGGAAAATTTTGAATAAAATTCTTCCTGAAGTCTTTTCCTGTAAAAGTAAAACTGGCGAATTTACAGAGTGCCTTAAGTCAGTGCTAGCTGAGCGCGGTTAGAGCTACCAGCAAATTTTTTAAAAAATTTAATTTTAAAAGTTTTTTTTTCCATCAACTCTTAGTTTTTCATTCAGCCGAATCTTCAACGAGTTCCACAAAAGATGATGACGAACGACAAGTTTTTGAAAAAAAATTAAAAAGTTTAGCCACAGAGAAGAAAAAACACGTGCTTTAATCCTTTAATTTATAAAACTTTCGAGATTTAATTTTTTTTTATAATTAATTTAAAAAAATTTTCAGGATAGAGCTAATCTTACTTTAAATGATTTTGAAGTCTTTAGAACGTTAGGTACTGGTTCTTTTGGACGAGTTGTACTTTGCCAGGTTAAATTTTTTTGTATGTAATTTTTTGATTTTTCAATTTTGCGCTTAACAACTTTTTAATAATGATAATAAATTAAAAACAGCATAAAGAAACAAACAAATACTTTGCGTTAAAAATTATCAGGAAAGAAGTTGTAATTCAGCTTAAGCAAGTGGAGCACACCGCGAACGAAATTAATCTTTTGCGCTGTATTCAGCATCCTTTTCTCGTTAGCATTCAATACTTTTTCCAGGTGGCTATTAAATTTTAGAAATTTACAAATAACTTTTTTTTTAATTTTAATTTGGTTTAAAATTTTCTTTCATTTTTTATTAATCTTGAATTTTTTACATAGTTTATAATTATTTTTTTAGTTACATAAACTTTTAAATTTTAATTTATTTTTTTTCTCCTTAGCTTTCAACACTTTTCAAGTAGCAATTAAAACTTATATAATTTTTTTTTTTAATTTTAAAATTTTGTACAAAATTTTCTTTGATTATATATTAAATCTTGAAATTTGTCTAATTTTCTTTGATTATATATTAAATCTTGAAATTTGTCTATTGGTTTATATTTATTTGATTGGTTTTTTTGAATTTTCTAATTTCCTTATTCTCGTTAGCATTCGATATTTTTTTAAGTAGCGATTGAAGCTAGAAATTTTACTTATAATTATCTTATTAACCTTGAAATTTTTATGTATTGGTTTATAATTTTGTTTTTGTTTTTTTTTAATTTTTCTAAAATTCTTTCCTCTCTTCAGCTTTCGATATTGTTTTTCAGGTAGTGATTAATTTTAATAAATTTACTATTTTACTTTTATTATTATGAAATTTGGTGTTCAAATTTTGTTATAATTAAATTTTTTAAGTAGAAATTTTAAAAATTTGGTTTTGGATTATGTAATAAATTATATTTATATATTTATTAAATTTTGAATATTTCATTTTCAGAGTCATATTTTTCTAAGGTAGCGAATTATTTTAAAAAATTTACTTTATTAATTTCTTTAACTTAAAATTTGTCAAAAAATTTCTAAATTTTTTTCATTATAAAACTTTTAATTTTTATGAATTAAATTTTAATTTTCTTTTTTTTTCCCTTTTTCTCATTAGTATTTACTATTTCCAATAAATAGCGGTTAATTTTTAAAAAAAATTAATTATAATTACTTTCTAATCTCAAAATTTTCTATTTAATTTTACTTGCAATTACTTTTTTATTCTTGGAAGTTTATAAAACTATTCTCATTTTTTAAATCAAGATTATATTTTTTATAATTATAAAAAATTTTAAATTTTTGTAAACTTTATAGGACAACTCTTCTCTTTATCTTTGCCTTGACTTTATTAATGGAGGCGAAATGTTTACTCACATTCATAAAAACAAGTTAACTTTTACTTATAAATTATTTAATATTAAATATAGTAACTTATTAATTGTTCACTTATTAAATTTCAATTTAATTTTTAAGAATCAATGTAGAAAGTAATGTTTTCAATTATAAAATTATACTTTTTGATTTTAATTAGTGGAAGAAGTTTATAAAAAAAAGCTAAATTTCTTATTTTATAGATTAATAAATTTATCAAATTAAATTGTTATTTATTCACTAAACAATTAACATTCTAATTTTCAAGGTTAAAGTAAATTTCGATATTTCAATTATTAATTTATTTTTTATTATTATTTGTTTTTAAAAAACTTTACTTCATTATATTAAACAGTTTTTTAAGTCATTTTTTGGAAAAATTTTTCTTTTACATAAAAATCAAATAAATCTTTTTTTTCGAAAGCTTTATATATAAGTAATTAATAAATTTCCTACTTTAACTTTTATAATTTTTTTTAATAAAAAGATCTTTATTATTTTATGGTTGTTTAAGCTATTTTTATTTTTTTTAATTATTTATTTTCTTAATAATATTTCGGGGGCGATTCATTTCAAAATTTCTTTCTTTAAAAATTTTTAAAAATTTACTACTTTTTGATTTATAATAATTTCATAATTTATTTTTTTATAGATATTTTTCTCATTCGATTGCGAGATTTTTTGCGGCTGAAATTGTGTTGGCTTTGGAATATTTGGTTAAATTTTTTTCGTATTTTTTATATAACTAATTCTCTTTTTTCCTAACTCATTTTAAATTTTGTCGATGTTCAAGAAATTTACTTGGAATTGTTAATAGTTAAATTAAAAAGTTGTACTACTTTAAAGAAAAAAAAAAAATTTATTTCAATAGTTTTAAAAACTATATTCTTAAAACTGGCTATATACACTTATTTTATTGGCCAAGTGTACCTAATACTTTACCTTGATTCATTCATTTCTAACAAAGGTCACGTGTTCGTGTTATAATTTGTTTGTTATGAATTCTAAAACTTTTTATAAGATTTAGAAAATGTTACTTTTACCAATTATTATTGTTTACTTTTTGTATTAGAAAAGTTTTACGTCTACTAAAAAAAAATATTTTTATCATTTCATAATATTATATTTATTTTTTATAAATTTATATTTTCTAAAATCATAAGCTATTCGTTTTGAATATATTTATTATATTTTTAAATATACTTTGATTATTATTATACATACAAAATTGTTGTGGTTTTTCATAATAATATTATCACAAACTAAACAGTTTGATAAATAATAAAGTTTCAAACTTTTATATTAAAAGATATAGAAAGGTATACATCTTAATAATAAAACTTGAATGTTACTATTTCTTTTATTTTTAATAATTAAAATCATTTTCATAATTATTTTATAAATTTTTTATAGAAATAATATTTATTAAAAAAAAATTAATATTTTTATTTTTTATATATTTTTTGTATTATTTTAATATAAAAAAATATTCTTAATAAAATTATAGTGAAAAGTTTATATTTATTCGGTACATCATTGGTTTATGATATTCAATTATAATAATGCTGTAAACTTATTGGCTCCGTTTTATTCATGCGATTTGTGGAAATATTCCCAAGTGTAATTCCATAAAGCAAATTCATTAGTCCATATACTGTTTCAAACGCTTTTAAATTGTAAAATAATAATAAAATAAAGTTTACTAATACTTTATTGGTTGTTGCATACGCGGCTACGCATTTGATTGGTAAATGAAAACAACTTGCATTGTTACTTATCTTTTAATTTTTCTTATAAAATTTTTTGATTTTTTTATTTAATTTATTAATTTATTTAAAAAAAAATTATTGGCTTCTAATTTTCATTATTATTATAGCATAACTTGGATATTATATATAGAGACTTGAAGGTACTTTTTTTCCTTATAAAATATTTTTTTATTTTAATTTTTTATTGGCCAACTTTAAAATATAAATAGATTTTACTTATTATTATAATTACGATTGAAAATATACCATACATCTAATATTAATAGTTTTACTAATTATTATTATAATTACCATTAAAAAAGATACTGCGGAAGTTATTAGAAGAAGTGAGTGTTATTATTTTTTAAAGTAAAAGTATATAAAACACTTGCAATAGAATTTCTTCAAAACAAAGCCACGTGCTACTCTTCGTGTGCATCGCTTTTGAAAAATTTAAAGCACACGGCGAGGCGTTTTGTTTTACTTTATATTATTATAACTATTTTAATAAAAAGTTTTTATTTTTCTTTTTTATTTTATTTATGAGCGTGTAAAATATTTTTTATTATATAGGCAAGAACTTCATAAGAAGTGAAACTATTCATTTTAAAAAAAATTATTTATTAAACTTTTTATAATCTTCAGACTTTATTAAAACTTTCATATAACATTTTATATAATTATTATGAAATAAACTTTTATAAAGGGTTACCAATCCACCTATTTTGGTAATTACTAACTCTTATTTGATATTTTTAGCCAGAAAATCTTCTTATTGACTCTCAAGGCCACGTGCGTGTGACTGACTTTGGATTCGCTAAAAGAGTGAAAGATAAAACTTGGACGCTCTGCGGAACGCCAGAGTACTTGGCTCCGGAAATAATACTTTCTAAAGGTTTTATTATTTTATTATTACTACTATTATATTAATTCATTTATTCATAAAATTTTTTTATTTCTCTTTTTTTTTACTATTTTTAAATATATATAAAAGTTTTAAAAGTTTTATTAAAGGTTTGTAGTAAGTATAAAGTTTTTTTTAATATCTATTACAAGTTTTTTATTTATTTTTTTTGCTTGTTGCTATTTTCCTTTGTTTTATTTTTATTTTTCAGGCTACACGCGCTCAGTGGATTGGTGGGCCGTTGGTGTTTTGATATATGAAATGCGCTCGGGGTTACTATTATTTTTATTATTACTAATTATCATTATTATGAAAAATATAAAATAGTTAAGATTATAGTTTTTTTAAAAAGCTTTTTCATAAATTTTATTATAAAAGTAGTAAAAATTATAAAAAAAAGTTTTTATATATCAAAACATTTTTAAAATGACTATTACCTATTATTATTATTATATATAAAATGATTTTTTTGTGCTTTTTTATTATTATTATAATTATTTTTATACAATATAAAATTCTTTTTAAAACTTTTTATATATTTTTTAATATTATTTTTATGTTAACTATTTTATATTATTATTAAGATGAAGTAAAAAAGTTATTATTATTCATAAGTTTGCTTTATTATTATTATAAAAGTACAAAAATATTATTTTAATAATTTTTTATAAAAAAATTATTATTTTGAACTTTTTATATTTCTAATACAAAAACTGTTATAAATAATAATTATTAATATAAAAACTAAAAAGTTAATATTATTATTATAAAAGTAATAAAAGGATATTATTTTAATTATTTTTATATAAACTATAAGTTATTATTTTTAACAAATAAACTAACAAAGTTATATTATTGTTTTTATTGTTATTTTTTAGGGATTCGTTTTTTGTTAAGTACATCCAAAAGCGGTTTATTTTTTTCTGTACACTCATTTTCTATATAAATTTTATATTTTATTTGTTTTTTTCATGTATAAAACTTATTTATTACGAAATAATAAGTATATATTTTATAAATTTTTCCAAAGAAAAAATTTACAATAATAATTACATTCCACATCTACAAACTTTAGTCTATTAGTTGTTGGGTTTAAGCACGCGCAAACTTTCATTATTTTTTTCTATTAAAAAATCCCATTATATATATTTTAAACTCCATCGAATAATTATGACACCAATTACAAAATTTGCTTGTGAATTCAATATAAAAAAATAACCTTTTCTTATTGGCTAAAAATATTCATTATTTTTAAAGACATGCTCCATTTTATGACCCCAACCAAATGGAAATGTATAGAAAAATAGTCGACGGAAGTCTAAGTTTTCCAGTTCATTTTCTAGCAGAAGAGGTATTATTATTATTTTCTATTATTATTTATTTATCAGTAACTTTTAAAATATTGTATAAACTGTATATAAACAAGCACATTTCTGAATACTTTTTTAGTTTTTTTTATACTGCTTACTTATAGTAATAATTGTTTTATATTTAAAACAAAAACCTTTGGGTAAAAAAATATTTTAAACAATGTCTTTGGATGACTCTTGTTGGGTTATTATTATTATAATGATTAATTATATTGAAGAAAATAAAAACTTTTTACTTTTATATAATATTTTTTTTATAATTTTATTGTTATAATCATTAAAACGGCTTATTGAAGCCTTCATTATTTTTCTTTTATAAAATCTTCTATTAGTTTTAATAGTTCCATAAGTTCCTTTGAACATTCTCGGTTAAAACTATTTTGTTTATTATTGTTAAATTGTTCTACGTCCGTTTTAATCTTTAATTGTTTCGTTGAAGTAGTACTACCAACAAAAAATTAAATATAAAACGTAATAATAATTAAATAATAATAAAGTAAATATACTAAAAATAATCATAATAAAAATAAATCTTTCAATCCAATTTTTAATTTTTTTTATTTTAAACCTTGTCACGCTCTTTCCGAAAGTTTTTTGTTATTCATATTTACTATGCAATTATTTGCTATAAATATTTATATTATATTTGATTAGCTGACGAATGCATTATTTTTTATTGCAGAAATCAATTATCCAAGGATTCTTAACCTGCGACCTTACGCGCCGCCTTGGAAGCATGAAAGGGGGAGCAGAGCAAATAAAAGAGCATCCTTACTTCAAAGTTTTATATTTACTTATAAATATTTGCTATTATTTTTATAAATTCTTTTAATTTTTTTTATGATTAATAAAAAATTAATTAATTCTGCTAATTTCTGTTTTGGTGAATTATGGTAAAAGTATAATTATTTTTCTCAAGTTTAATTTTATTTTTAAATAGGAAATGAACTTCAAAGCTTTATTGAATAATAAAATTCGCTCTCCTTATATACCTCAAGTCTCTGGAGAAGACGACGATAGCCATTTTGACCAGTACGACGAAGAAGATTTATTTTGGGATGAAGAGGGAAAGGATCCTTATGAAGATATTTTCAAGCAGTTTTGAAGTTAAACTGATTTAGAAAGAAATAGAATTTCTGTTAAAAAAAATTAAAAATAAAATTTAGTAAAGTTTATTGGGTTTTAGCGGAAAAAGTAAAAACAAGTTATTAATGTTTCTTTTATGTAAAGTTAATAAAAAAACTTAACAATAGTAAAAAAAGTCCTATAAAATAGAATCTCAAAGCATAATTTTTTAACTTAATAAATTTATAATAATTTTAACAAATGTGCGAATTTTCTTCATACAAAAGATTTTAGCTTGCGACTCTCAAATTTAAAAATGTGGTAGAAAAATTGCTTTAAACTATTTTAAAAGTGTCCTGCGTGAATTTTGGTAGCTCAACTTGTTAAAGAACCTAAAAATGTAAAAGATTTACTTTATTTTTTTATACTGCAAAGTGCAATAGTTTACAGCTTAAGTTAGTTGAAATAAAAGTGTTTTTTAGTAGAATTTAAAAATACTTTTGAGTTTAATGAAAGTAGAAAAGCGGAACTTATTGTACTACTTCAGTTTTTATTTGAAATATCATGAAATAAACTTTTTTTAGGTGTTATAAAAGGGCTAACAAAAGTCTTTCAAGTGAAACTCAAAAGGTATTAAAAACTTCTAGTAGTAAAAAGTTAGGAAAAAGGTCATTAGCGTTTAATAGCAAACGTTAGCATCACTATTTTCTAGTGGTAGTATATAAAAAAGACGTATACTTTATTTAAAAATAACAGCCAATTTTGTGACTAATTTCTTTAAAAAAATTAGAAAAAAAGCTTGTGTAATCTACAAAAGTATATTTAAGTCCAGTAAGTATAAAATGTTTTTAACAAGAAAAGGTTCCATCTTGTTTTTATTTTATATTAGAATAATGTCTGCTTGTTATTTAAAACAAAAAATAATTTAATATCTTTTCGCCAGGTTGCTAGACAGAGTGTTATGCAAGCAGGCTCTTAATTCTAACAAAAAAAATGTTTAACCAAATTATGGTATTAAATGGAATATATTGTTTTTTTAGTGGAATTTTAAGATTAATTTTATTCCTTTAAAATTCTTCAAAAAAACTATTATCTAAGAAATGTTCAAAACTATTACATTAAAGTTAATTATACACTATTCTATCTTCAACGAAAAAAATTACACAGTATTCGTAATACTCTCGTATAGTGCACTTAGAGACCTACAATTTCTCTAAAAATAACCATAAAAACAACTAGAACTAATTGTGAACTCGTTTAAATGGGATTCTGAAAAGATTTCAGTGAACCTTGTGTTAAAATATTTTATTTTAATACTAATAAAAAAAGTATTAATATATTGTTCAAAGATGAAGCCTATAAGATGAACTTCATAAGTCGAAAACGGCCATATATTAAAAAAAAACTTTTAGTTGTGTAATCCTTTATTTAATAAATGCACGCCCAATGCAATTTAATTTTGTTTACATTTTTACAACAAACGCATCTCTTCCACCGCCGTAGAAGAGTACCGTGCTAGCCGCCGACGTCGTTTAAAAGATAACTTGGTCAAAAAATTGGAGACACGGAAGCACGTGTTTTTCCACTGAATACCCAAATTAACAAGCCACTCTTGCAGAGTAGATTTGGCACGACCTACTGGGCGTTCCAAGTTAGGCTTTTGGTAGCTCTTTAGTAACAGTGAAGATCCTATTACAGTGAGCGATGAAAGTATCATGGCAAGCGTAGCCAAAACGGGATTCAAGGCTATCCCGAAAGGTGCCAGCAGCCCTAATAATAATTTAAAGAGTATGCCATTGATGATTAGCTCTGTAAAATTTAAAACCGGATGCAACGGGCACAGCAATGAAATTATACATGACCGCAAAAACAAAATTGTAGCGAATCCGGCGCACCGTCTTTGTCGAGATATCGATAGCGTAGATAATGCCTGCGAGAGAGGCGGTGGTTAGCACAATCTGGGCGGCCTCCACCGTCATATAAGTGCCCTACAATTCCAAATAACAGGTATGCAGGGCAAAATATGAAGCTAAATAAGGGTGTACGCTTGCAACGGCTATTCCCAAGTCGGCCTGCGCGAGGGCAGGAGAGTCGTTCAGTCCGTCACCAACCATCCCCACCACTTCCCCGGCTTCCTGCATTGCTTTAACTATCGCTAACTTTCGGCTCGGGAGGCACTCGTAATAAGTCTTCTGGCGGGGTATGCCGAGCTCACTAGCCTGAGTGCCACTACAGTACCGCGTTGGTGGGGGGAAACAAAGTTTAAACCACTTACAATTCGGAGAGCGGCCGTCTGGTTGTCGCCTGTCAGAAGACAAACTTGAATGTTCATATTCTGCAATGTTTTAATCACCAGCTGATAATGATAGAAAAAATGTTTACTCATTATTTATAAAAAAAATTATGTCACTCGGACTTTGGCTTCGGGTTTCACTTGATCCACCAGCGTTATAAGTCCGGCTATATCGTTGTCTATTGCTACCAGGGAAGTTATGAAGCCGTTATCTTGATACTTTTTGACTTTTTCGGATACATCCTGTGAAATTTGATACACATTATAATAATTATAATCTGTGGGTTGGTATAAAAAAAACTTCTTCAGACGTAGCAAAGTTTTTAATCCAAGCGAAACTGCCTATGCGAAGTGTCCTTTGGCCAACCACACAACTCAGCCCTTCTCCAGGAAAGCAGAGGGGGTCTTGGGTTATTACGGCTGTCTCGTCATCGGACATTGACATTGTATCTGACCATTCAGTAAGCGTTATTTTTATTATCCTGTCGAAGGCAACAAGCATGAACTTGCGTAGCTAAGTATAGACTTGGCGAGAACGTGGTTGGAGTTTTCTTCGGCGAGTCGTACAAGTTTTAAAAATTGTTTCTGGTTCATACCATTGAACACTACTATCTACCAATGAGCTCTCGAAAAGTAAATGCCCACCAATAAGTTAGTGATCCAATGATAAGCGTACCTCGCACACACGTGGGAGGCCCTCCGTTACTGTGCCGGTCTTATCAAAGCACAATGTCGTTACTCGATTGGCACCTTCTAGCGCCTCTCCACCTAATCACGTGCACAAAAGATAATGTTTTATAAATTGTAAGGAAGACAAGATGGAAAGTTCGACCTTTTATTAGTATGCCGTTTTCCGCCCCCACCCCAACCCCCACTGCGACGGCAGTTGGAGCTGCTAAGCCAAGGGCGCAGGGGCAAGCAACAACTAGGACCTCTCAAACTCATTAGTGGTCATGTGAAACTCGCTTATTAACCAAGCTTACGGAGATGGCGAATTGGAGAGAGTAACGGAAACTGGAGGAACCAAAGGGGATAGCGGCAAGGCCATTGTTGCAAAGAAAAAACCACACTAAAAAAGTGGCCAGAGAAAGCCCAATGATGCAGGGAACAAAGTATCCCGCAATGCTTAGTAAAAAGTTAGGGGGAAAAATTATATAGTATGCAAAAATAATACTGATCAGCCAAGCGCTGGATGGGTGCTTTAGAGGCTTGAGCCTCCTTTACTAACTTCACTATTCGTCCTAAAGCAGAGTGGTCTCCGACATTAGTAACTTTCAAATGGACCACTCCCAGTTGGTTTAGCGTCCCGCTAATTACAAGCTGCCAATCAGAAATTACATTAGATATAAAAAGGAAACGGTTTTTACCCAAACACGAAGTCCCCAACATTTTTCACAATAGGAGAACTTTCGCCGGTTATCAAAGACTCATCCACGGAACTGCAGCCAAAGACAACCGTGCCGTCTGCCGGTATCTACCTCATAAAAAAAATATTTTAAGCTCGTATACTCCCCAGTAAAAGTTTCTTTAAAAGAGCGCATAATAAAAATAGTTACAATTCCTTTAAAAAATATTAATGAAAAAAATGTGAATCTATTAACGACACCGCCTTTTATCTGAAAAACTGAAAAACATACGTAAGTTTACAATATTTTCTTTAAGTTTACTGAACTGCGCAGGAAAAATAGTAAGACGCATACCTGCTCCCCAGGAAGAACTTTCAAGAGGTCGCCACGCTGCACTAAACCAATAGAAATTGATTTTTCAGTGTTATGAATTAATAAGCGGGCGTTAATTGGCTGAGAGTTCATTAATTTTTTTGCGGCATCAGATGCCTGAGCTTTTAAGGCGATGCATTAAAAATTATGCAGTAAATGCAGTTGTAGGGTAAACAATAATATTATATAAAGTTTTTAAATTTATATAAAGGCGCAATTGACAAGAAAAACTATGAAATTAAAAAAATATTCTTTTAACTCTATTTGTGGCTGTTTATAAACACGCTTATGATTGGTGAAATATACAACCATGTGTGTGACGCCCTTTTCATAAAAATATAAACACCTTTTGCTGCACACTCAAGCCAGCGGCCAAGCGTAGTAAAAGTAAACAACATGACAGACATTTCAAAGAAAACTTTTTCTGTCCCCTTTCCTTATATAGTAATCATAAAATAATGGCAAACTATTTTAATTTAAAAAAACCATAAAAATACTGAATAGAACGGTCCAACAGGACACTGCCGCTGAATATAAATAAGCCACGAGCGAGCCGGTAGCAATGAGAACATCCATATTAGCGCGGCCGTGCTTAAGCGAGTTGTATGCAGAAAAAAAAACATTTTTTCCAGCGACGACCTGCGCCAACGAAGTAATAAGGATATGAAATTCACGTGAAATAATGAACTGTCCACCATAACAATGGTTGCAAAGGCCCAAATGAGCATGTTCATAAGAGAAATTCCGCTTATCGGTTCAATCATTAAAAAGTGGTAGAGTACAGCAATGCGGGAAAAAAGGTGCATAAGCAAAAAAGTCTATATAAAAAAAAAAATTATAATAAAAGTTTTTATATAAAAAGGGCACTAATGCAGTCTTATTTTCAGTATTATATATTTAATGTAACCAAATTTTTTACTAAGAATGATAATATTTACCCAAAAAAAGATATTTCATATACTTTAGAATGTAATCATTTAGAAAAGTACTCAATTTTATTTTTTTTATAAAAAATAATGAACAGACCTCTACAGATAACAAAAAAAAGTACCTCACAGTATTAATATTTATTCATAAGAAAATTATAAACAGTAAAAAATATATATACAAACTAAAAAGGAACCGAACTGGAATAAAAAAGGCAACGCTGATTAAAAAAGAGCGCCTCCATATAATGATCTCTGAGTCAGTAGAAGAAGTCTCTCCGTTTGCCTCAACACGTGCTCTGTAGCCTATAAGATGCCAAAAACTTAACAGTGGTAACCCCCACACGTTTCCAATAGGACAATAGTCAATGTCATTATTATTATTACTATTACTATTATTATTATAATTATTATTATCACTATTATTATTATAAACACTATTAAAAATACACAACATTCATTAAAAAAAGACCCCAGCTTTCCAAAAGATCTACGATATCGCGCGGACCGAGCAGTTCTTCGTCAAAGCGCACGTGGCCTTTGCAACTTGGATAAAAAAGAGTCACTTCGCTTATGCCCTCCACATTCTTCAAAAGTTTTTCAATGCTTTTATTATTTATTATTATTATTATTATTATTATTATTATTATTATTATTATTATTATTATTATTATTATTATTATTATTATTATTATTATTATTATTATTATTATGCTTACGCAGTAATACAGTTAGCATCAATTACGTCAAGGAGAGAAAAGTTTAGAACTCCAGCGCTGTTTTCCCTTATAAGTTCGACTCCAAAGCCAAGATTCCTTATAAGTTTGCAAAGCTCTGCTTCTTTTATAAATTTCTCGTTATACCAAACCTTTAAAAAAAATTAAAGTAAAAAATATATAAATAAGCTTTTTAATAAGTGAAATTTTAATATAAAAATCGTAGAGAGAAAAACTTTAAAAATTTTTATAATAAACTTTATGCATAAAAAGAAATTTAAAATGAAATTGAAACGTAAAATCTTTTTAATCTTTAAATTATAAACAGTTATTTAAAAAAAGTTATAAAGAAAATATTTGGAGTCTACTACTTTAAATGAATTATAAATTTTAAAGTAATTAATTTTTTTGAAAATTTTTTTTATCCAAGTAAAATTAATTGTCCAAAAGACGTAAATCTTATAAGTTATAATAATTTATATATTAAATTTTTAAAAAAAAAATTAACAAAACAAAGAATAATCAACAGCATTACGAAATTTAAAAATTGTGACAAAGAAATTCTCAATTTTAGTATTTAAAATTAAATTTATTTAGATTAACACTTACAAATATTTAGAAACACAAGTTTAAAAGACTTTAATAATAATAAATAGTATTATCATAATAAAGTGTGCCCCCAAAATAGCTGGAATTTAAAAAAAGAGTTACACTTTTCTATTAACTTATTAGTAATACATAAAAAAATAATACTAAAATAAAAATTTCAAAAATTAAAAAATTGAAAATTTAAAAATTTCTTTTGCATTTTTAAATTAAAACTGTACGAATCAAAATTTTAATAATTATCTTTAAGAATTATTTTTAATTTTCCTTTTATAAAAAGTTTTATATCCGACTCATTGTTATTATCAAAGTAATTATTGTTGTTATATAAATAATATAAATAATACTGTTAAAAAAATTAAAACTTAAAAAAGTATAAAAAATATAAAAAAAGGAAGAAAAAAAATAAAACATAATTTTCCAAAAGAAAAGTAGTTAAAAAGAAATTGAAAAATAAAGTTATCAAATATAATATCATAATTATATAAATAATAATGTAATTTTTTAAAAAAACTTCAGCATTTCCAGAAAGAAGATTCACGCGAATGTCATAAATTGAGATGTTATTCTTTAAAGTTTTTTCTATAGTTCCTACGCAGGAGGCACAGCTCATTCCTATTTTGATATTAATAATAGTTTATATATAAATTGAAAACATTCTTAAACATTTTTAAAGAGTCGTAATTTAAGAAATGAAAAGATCAATCTTGCTTTATTAGTAGTATATTTTTTAAGTTTCATTATTCTACATTTATATAACTTATTTTAATTAAAATTTTAAACATTTTTCGAATAATTGTTAGCATTATGAACTCGTGAATAGAAAGCTTTTAAATTAATTAACTAATTATAATAAAGTAATAATTATAAAGGAGTATAAACATATAATCACGATGATTATTTTATTAAAAATTATTATTTAATCCAATTATTAAAAATAAAAATCTTTTAAAATAACCTTTTTTTGCTAATCAATTCCATAATTAATTTATAAATATTAAAAATTACTTAATTCCTTATTTACAGAAACTTTTATAATAACTAGCTCTTTATAATATACTATAATCATAATATACAAATCAGGTAAAAAAATAAAAGATTCACATTTTTTTTGGTAATATACAATTAATTTTACTTAATAATATTAATAAAGTTTAGTATGAGCACGGCTTTACGCAGTACAGAAGAACCTGAAATAAGTAAACTGCATTTTTTAATTGGACCAGCAGTTATGAGAACCCCATTTGAATTAGAGGGGGAACCTTTAAATAGTAGAACATTATCGTTTTAGATTGAATGGTTTATATAAAAGTATAGTATAAAATTAAATAAAAAACCTTGTGCCAATAATAACTTTTTTTGTAAAGGTTCTTTATCAAGTAAAAGATTCTGCGGATTTCCTGATTTATGAAAGAGAGAAAAAATTAATAAAAAGCAACGTAATTATTAATTAAACTTATCTTAAATACCTGTAACTGGGGAGGAAAAGGGGATTGCTGTACACTCCATTATTATTTGTAACTTGAAATTAACAAGCTAAAGGAAAAAAAAAAAATTATTTAAATGAAAGAAATAGCACTACTGAAGTGTAAATAAAATTTTAAGGCTAGTTTACTTAAAAGCTTTTTTTTGTAAAAATAAATAGTAGGGATCGAAAGTAAAAAGGTTAAAAAATTATTGAGGATGTCTACTATCTACTACAAATTAAAACGTAACCTAAAAAATTTTCTCTGAGACAAATTTAAGTTTAGCACTCAAAAGCTTTATTTAACCCACGATATGCAGCTTTAGTCAAGGTTATAAAGCTTAACTAAAATTTTATATTTTATTTTAAAAACTTCGTAGATTTGTTAGTCAATTTATTCTTAAACATTATGAAACCTTGAATACTTATACGTTATTGGTCCTTCTTTTTTCGTGAAGATATAGTAATAATAACTATATACCCTTCTATTAACTCTATTTAAATTGGAGCGTTGTCAAAAAGCTTCTTTACAAAACTACTATTCATACTCTGTGGAATGAAAAAAATAAATGCGTTAGGTAGGAGCGTTATTTTAATTGATAAAACTTTTATAGGCTCTCTATATGGTAACATGGAAACATTCCGAGGGTAAAAGTTACTTGCGCGGTTTTTAACGTACAAAATAACCGTTTTATAGTGCCACATTGATCATGTAGTTACTAAATTTTATAAAGGAATGTAATATTCACAAAAGGTTTAGCCCCGAAGTAACTATAAATTTTTGTTAAGAGTGTAATAATCACGGGAAGTAATTGATTGCTTGTTTTATTTATTTATTTTTATAGTTAGGTACTTTCTTTACTGTAACAAAAAAGCAAGTATATTACTTCGCGTATAGCCACACAAGTTTTATAAATATTATACATAATGCTTTCAAGTAACTCAAAAATTATTTAGCGCAATTTATAACGTGGCGAAAATTAGAATAGCATATATAAAGCTTCTACTTATAAAAAAGGGACTTATAACTCTTTAAGAGCAAAAGAATATGTGCAAAGAGGAAAAAATTGTAGTTAAAAGAGTTTATTGAATTTCTTATCTTTTTTCTACTTGGTAAGGGTATGTTAGAATATACTTTTTTCTAATCAATGTATGATTAATGTTTAAGCAAAGTCACTTTAGTGTATACCTGAAAACAAGAAAATTACTATAATTTTATTTTCACTCGTTGACAGTAGGAAGTGTAAATCTATTATGCTATATTCTGTGCATGAACGCAAAACATTTCTTCAAAGAGGAAATTTTTTTAATTTAACTAAGTAATAAGTAAGCACCCCTATAATAAAAAAATAAATAAGCATATGTAAGTACATTATGCTTCTACTTGATACAAGCAAAAAAATCGGTAAAGTAATTTTATAGAGCGTCGCTGTCGTCCGTTTTTTAAATTTTTACAAAGACGTTTTTAATATATTTCTGACTCATTCTAATTACGATACTGCCTAGAAGTTATTATATATATTTATTTCTATTGGCCTTAGGTTCTGGCTGACTTTCTAAGTAGCTTATCATGTCCTTCTACTAGGTATTTCTCACATCGGGTATATAGCCGTCTCTCTCGAGGATATGCTAACCCTCATACAATTTACATAAGTGCGCTGCTATAGGTAGTTACCCATTAGTAACTTACAACGGGCATTAACTTTAGCCTATAAGCTTCACAACTTGCTCTAAGACAATTTAGAGTTAGAGTTTTCTGCATTTACATTTAATATCCTTATTCAAGCTTTGCTTAACTTGAATTTTTCTTTTTTATATTTTGTTCAATAAATTCCAGATACAAAATAACATAAAGGAGGCAAGAATAATATGCTTATGACTTAAGCCTGCACCTGTAGCTTAAATTTCTTTGGCAAATTAATATAGTTGCGAACAGTGCGTTTTCTAAATTACCCACATTAGTTGTAATTGCGTTTTTTAGCATTTGAAGGTATCGAAGGCTTATCACTTTAAAAGAAGGGTCTGATTTTGTTACATTTTTGTAACTAAACGTCTTTTGCTTAGCTTTTATAGATACTAGTGCCATTTTCCTCTGTTTCTTGTTTCTAGGTGCTATTTTAAGCTTTTGGTTATGTTCTCGCTGTGCACAGTTTTAATTAAGCGGGTCTTAACTCCGCTCTTGTTTCAAGCACTCATTAGTTTTACTAAATTGTTTTTTGTTTTATATCTATCCCTAGCTCTCAAACCCTTGCAAATTCCATTAACTCACGATCTCCGGGTCGTGACAAAATACGGACGATTTAGTAGATTTGTAACTATAATAACCGATGATCCATGCTCTGTTATGTAATACGGCATGAGTACCAAAACAATTTTTTAAAACTTTTTTTTTAAAATTTAACTATTATGTGCAGAGTTTAAAACAAAATAAATAATACGGTTCAGAAATGTTTAAAAAAAAAAAGCTATTTTAGTTATAAACAAAAATCTAAAGTTAGAGTTAAAGGTTTAGATTTACTTCGACCAAAACCGTCTAACATATTTTAACTAATGAAATTAAAAAAAAGTTAAAGAGGAAATAAATTCTAAAATTTTTCGCAATATAAAATTTTAATTATATACCCTTTCTTTCAAACTAATACGTTTTCTTATTGGGTTCATCTTACCTGAAACTTTTTTATTACTATCACTTGCAAAAAAAAAGTCGCTAGCTAATGCAAAACTGGCTTCAACAGGATTAACCACCATTCCACCTAATTTTTATCGAACTGGTTCGTGTGTAAAAAAACTACTACAGTGCTGCCTAATTTAACTTTGGTTAGCTTAGTATTATGCACTATTTTAGTAAAATTTGTAGCTATCTCTTAAACCTTGTACTCGAATAACTAGCAAGGAGCAACTAGTGGGCTAACTGGTTTATGGTCTAATTAGGTAGCTAACTTTAAAAATAACTGTTGGGTCGGTGAAATTGAAGGGATGTAGACTGCTACCTAGATTTTACATTAAATTTAAAAATGTTACCATTATGCTAATTTGTCATAATACTTAAATCGAGACAATCGTGGCCTTGCAAACATATCGAACTCCTTACGCAAATATTAAATATTATGAAAGACTTGAGTATAGCGAAGGAGATTTAACAATTTAAATAGTTTTCTAATAAGTTTTAATAGATATTTCGAATGATTAATATTGATTAAACTTTAAATAACCGCATCAATGGGTACCACAATCAATCTTTATGTAATCCATGACCTTTTGTTGGTACAGCGTCTAACAGCATATGACAGGGGGCAAACTTTTTCCTTCAGTCGGTCATATTCCTTAAAGAGTGTGAGAACAGTTGTTGGGGTTGAATTTAACCGCTTTTTGCCGCTATACAAATATAAATGTTAATTTTAGTCGTACTGACTAGAAAATTTTATTTTAAAAGATAATCTAATTTTATTACTATTTTACAAACGCTTAGCTGCTTTTCTTGTGACTATTTTTTCCATACTTTTGCATGACCAATACTATGGTTGTACTTTTTTAAAAAGCTCGATATGCCTCAACTAAAACTTAATGAAGAAGACAACCCGAGCGAAGTTTTTGAGTTAATTTCAAAGCTTGGTGAAGGGCACGCCTCTATAGTTAACTTTTTTAAGAAATTGAACTCAATTACAAAGTTTATATAGGACTTATGGGCGTGTGTACAAAGGGTTACACAAACAGACCAAAACTATTCTAGCAATAAAGCAACTTCACTTGACTCCGTTAAATTTAGAGAAGGAGGTTGAAGATAAACTTAAAGAAATTGGTTTATATGTATATATTAGTATAAAAATTTAATTCTCGTTTTGATTTACACTAAGGTACGTAACATACTATAAAATATGATTTATATCCCAATAGCCGTCATGCGACAACTTAAAAATGAATTTATCGTACAATATTATGGGAGTTACTACCACGATAACTTGCTTTGGGTAAATTTGTAGAATTTTTATAGCTTTATTAACTGTTTCGTAGTTGAAGTTTTAAATTAGATTTATTCAGAATTTAATATTTTTAATTAAAATTTAAGAAATTTGCAAGTCTTTGTTTCAATGTTTCTTAACATTTTTACTTACTGGTGTAAATTTAAATTAGAAATTATTAAGCTTATAAAGACGATGTAATTAATTTGACTAAAGCTTGATAGTAAAACTTTAGGCCTTTAGCTTGTACTTTTTGGATTTTATTTAAATTGTACAACAAAAGTATTGTAAGAGAAATTTTTTAATTAAAGCATTGAAATAATTTTTAATTTTTTTAATTTTATAATACTTTCCTACACTCTTGTTAAATTTTAAATTATACCATTCAATTGAACTTTTAACAAAAAACAAAACTGTAATTCTCTTTCTTACTTTAGAATTGTTTATTATATAATATTTCTAATTAACCTCCTTTTTATTTTTATTAAGTTTTAACAAGTTTCTTTAAAAAATTATTTAATTCTTTTTTTTTTTGTATTTCAGTTAAATTTTTCTAGTGCAACTCAAAATAATTTTTTACTTTTATAAAAAAGTGGACATATAAAACTTGTTTTTATGATGGGCTTAAGAGGAAATAATATAAACTTAAGTAAAAGTGATATTATTATTGATATTTTATTATATATTAATATATTCTCTTGCTACTTTATATTATAATTTAATATAAATAATTTCTAAATTATTACTATTATAATAAAATTTTAAATTAATTTTGCATACGTGTAGGCATTTTTAAAAATTTATTATATATGAAGAAAAAAAAAATATATTTTATACTAAGTTACTCAAGTTAAGTCTTTCACTAAATTTTTTTAATAAAGTTTAAAGTAATATTTTTACAATAAAGTTTAAAGTAATATTTTTATTATATTCAAATTATGAAATCTTTAAATTTTTTAAATAACTTTAAAATTCATAATTTTTTGAAATATTTTTGGTAGCTTACATTTTTTTTAATACAAAGTATTGGATCACTTTTGAACATGTTACATAATTTTTTTTTAACTTTCATAAAATTTTGAAAAAAATTATTTTCTATAAATTTATTAGAAAAAATTTTAATTTTTATTCTTTTTTTTTGTTTAAATCTAAAACTTAGAAAAAAAAATTTAATAAAAAAATATTTGTTGATTTTTAGACTCTTGCACTTTATATAGTTTATATAAACTTCTATAAAATTTTTAAGAAAAAATCAATTTATTATTATGAAAATTACTTATATTAAAAAAACTCGAGAAAGAATATATGTTATTTACAAATCTATGAATTGAACTCAAAGAGTTTTAACTAACTTTTATAATGGCCTTTTACGCCAACATATAAATAGATTATAATTTTTTATAAAACTTTATTACTTATTTATTACTATTAACATTATGAAGAGAGATTTTTATTTGTTATTTTTATTAATTTTTTCTTATACTTTATTTAAATACAACTTCTTAATTCTCATTATTTTATTTTAGAATTGCTCCCCAGTACAAATATTAAATTTTATACTTAATTTGTTTATAGTATTTAATAACTTTTCATTTACTTATTGTTATTAAACTAATTATTTTATATTTTCTTATTTTTAATTACTATTAAATTTTACTACTAGCGAAAATGAGGTTAATGGCTATTAAAAATTTTATACTATTATAAAATTATTTTTAAAATTATATAGTTTATTTATTTTTCGATTTTTATTTTTATTACTTATTGTTTCCATATTTCGCCAACAAGCAAAAAATAAATTCCTTTTTTTATTTATTATCAATAAATTTTAATTATTGTTTTATTATTTAATTTTACTAATTTTATATTCGCCTCACATGCGAAGATACACTAAGACTATTACTATTATTAATTTTTATATCATTAAAAAATATTTAATTCACTTTTATTATATTTTTTTAATTATTTAAATATACTTATATTAATTATTATTTTTATAAATTAATTTATGTTTAGTGTTTACAAGTTTAACTTTTTATCTCTCACTTCTTGCTAATTTTGCCTACGAGCAAAAAATAAATTATATATATATATACCTTTTTACATCCTGTTTATTGGCAGCTCGTGATGGAGTATTGCAGCGCTGGAAGTGTCAGCGATGTTATGCGCATGCGCAAGCGGGTCCTAAGCGAGCTGGAGATTCAAGCTATTGTTCATTATTCTTTATTAGGTTTATTATAATATTATTACTCCTTATTTTTTTATTTTTTTGTTAGACTATTTATTTATCGTTTATTTATACATTACTTATTTATTAAAGTTTTTTCCGACTTATTCTTTATATTATCTAGCATTTTCATAGATAACTTTACTTGATTACGTTATTATGGTATGTAGCATTTATTTTATTTTTTTTGTTTCATTTATTCTTATTTTAGTTTCTCATTAATTTTTTTATTAATTTATTTTCTTTACCCTAGCTTTTCTGTATTTTTTATAAAAATGTTTTAATATTTTTTTTAATTAATACTTTAGTGTTGCGGACAGTTGTGTTTTGAACATTCTATAGATTATTTAGTATTTTCTTTTTATTTTGTACTACTTTTTAAATTAACCCTATAATTTAAATTTCTACTAAAACTTTATTTATTTATAATTAGTTATTTCTCGTTTACTTATTTTTTTAAGGATTATCATATCTACATGAAAAGTTAAAAATACACAGAGACATAAAAGCATGCAATATACTGTTAACTGAAGAGGGAGTTAGCAAATTAGGTACTATTTTTACGTAGAAACCAGCTGTAAAAGTTGAAAAAATAAATTATATAATAATAATAACATTTTATATAAAGTCTCCATATACTAGGAGTAATTATATATAAAAATATTAAAATGTTATTTTACATAACTTGTATGGTAAGACTAATAAAAGACGAAAGCTTTTAAGGGAATTATAATAAAGTATACTGATTATTATAAACTATTAATTCTGGTTAACTAAAAAAAAATATATTTTAAACGAATTATTAGGGTATAAATAAACGTAGTTAAAAAAGAAAACTATATTATATTGCATTAAAATAAGTAAAATATTGTTAATAATTTTTCTAACTATAAAACGAAAACGAACTTTCAATTTTATGTTATTATTAAAGAATGTTAAACAAAATAATAAAATTAAATTATTTATTCAGAAGTGAGAAATTAGTAATAATAAATTTGAATAACGTTATTAAATTAGTTTTTACCCTATTTATAAAAATACATTATAGAAGTGAGTCTAAAACTATAATTTTTTTGTTATAAAATAATTAATATAAAATAGAAGACCAATAAAGCTATAATATAAAATTTATAACTAATTTATGCAATTTTTTTTAAAATTTTTTACTATTTTTAAATATTCAATATTTCTTTTTTTGTTATTATTAATATTCTTTATTTATATTTATCAAAGTTAACATTTTTTGTAGGCTTTTTTTAATAAAAGAGAAAAGCTGTTTTCTATAATACAACTTAAGTTTTTATTATTCGTTTAAAAATTAATTTAAATTTTTACTATTTTGCTAGGTTATCGTCCATTTTATAAATAATTAGAATCTTTTTTATAATTACTGATAATAATATAGTAACAAACTTTGTTGCTATTATTTAAAAATTAAAAGTATGTTAATTATAATAATATCAGACGTATTAAAAATAACTTTTTTTTAGTATTTTTCTTTTCGCTTTTAAGCACTTTTTTACGAATAATGTCTTTACTTATTACTAAATAAAATTTATACTTCCCAATTATATATTTTACTTGTATTAATAATTCATAAGAACTTATAATCACTATATTTATATACTAACTTCTATATGCGGTAATATAATTTTATTTTTATTGTTTGACTTATAATTTTTTTATTACTAGTTAGGGGTTTTATTGTTTATATTAGTTATTATTAATTAATTTCAAGTTTAATGAAATTTTGGTGACTATATATATTTTTTATTATTAGCGGACTTTGGCGTGACTGGAGAATTAAAGGACGCCACATGCAAGCGCACGACTGTTGTTGGAACTCCTTATTGGATGGCACCAGAAGTTTTTCAGGAATTGGGATACGACCATAAGGCGGATATCTGGTCACTGGGAATTACTTGCATCGAAATGGCGGAGGGCCGCCCTCCTGTTATTATATTGTTTAAATAATATGAATATTTTTATATTTTTAACTACCAGTTGTTACTAGAAATGTTATTTATTTTTTTTTTGTTATATTTTTAAATATTATCGATAAGATGTGTAGAAATTTTTCTATCCTAATATTTTGGCATTCAGAAAGTATCCTATCATTTATAATAACGTAAATAAATTATAACTTTTTATTAAAGTAAAATAAGTAGTAAATGAAAAAGTTGTTTTATATCCATTTATTGTAAATTAAAGACGTAATTTTTTATTTTTTCTAAATAAAATAATAAAAGTTAATATTTTTTGTTTTTTTTCTTCTATTATATTATAATTAGTTGTTGACTTTACTACATTAAGAAAATTTATGAATTAAAATTATAATAAATTCTTTTTTATATATTCTTTTTCACACACTCAATATCCTTTTATTACAGTTAGGAAAATATATAAATATTTAGTTACCAATTTCTTATTATTTCGTATACAAGTAAACTTTTTTTTAATACTTTCAAATTTGTATACATTAAACCTTTGAATTTTTTAAATTATCTTGGAATTTTTGACTTTTTTTGTTTCATTAACTGAAAACTATATATAGTAAAGCATTAATTTTTCCGAGTATTGTTTTTTTCCTTCTAAATATTGAAAGAATATTATATGTTACAATTAACTCATTTGTATTAAATATTGAAACTCTACATGAAATTTTACATATTAGGAAAGAATATAAAGAATTTTTTTATTATAAGTAAAGAATTAATTTTTAGTTTTAAGATGTTATAAATGTTTGTTAATAGTATAAAAGATTTGTACTTTACAATAATTTATTGACATATATTGTTAATAAATGATCTCTTTTTACAGATAATTTCTTTAAAAAAAATTTTTTTCTTTAAAGTTTTCCGAGTTCCATCCTGTTCGCGCGATGTTTATTATCCCCTCGAAGCCTCCTTCTACACTTCAGAACAAAGAAAAATTTTCAAAAGAGTTTAATGATTTTATTGCAAGATGCTTAAAAAAGATACCATCTGATCGTCCCGATGCTAAGGACTTACTAGAAGTAATAAAAAACTAATGATATTATTAATAATATTAATAATATTAATATTTATAATATTTTAACAAAAATATTTGCATTGATACAATTGTGACTGTGTTTTGATTTAACTTTGTTTCATAATTGCAATCATTTATATTTACTCTAACTTTACCCACCATTTGAAATTCTAATATAATGCAGTTTTTGTCAAAGTTTATCAATGTAAATATTTATATTATAGAAGAAATTAATGAACTTTACATAAATATAGTGATATTATTTAAACAATTTTTTAAATATTTATATATTATTTAATGAGGGATAGACTTAGTAGGGCTTTTACATAACAATTTTTTTTAATGAATACACCCCCAAAAGTTTTTTGTGACCAATTTATATTATAAAGATACAAATATGTTTATTTTTGAGATAATAAGATTATTAGTATTTTTGAATAATATATAATGTATAGTCGAATATAAGTTTTTCTGTAATAAGAGAAATGGTGAATAGTAAAATTAATTAAATTCCTAAAAAATGATATTATAAATAAAACGCATGTTTAGTATATCTTATTATTTATAAAAGCTATTAATGTTTATTACAAAAAGGTAGTATAAATATTTATTTTCATTAATAATTAAAAAAGTTAATTGAAACTAGTCATTAAATATATTAATAACCGTAGAATTTAGAATAATTTTGTTTACTAAGTTTTTTACAAAAGAAACAAATGTTTAATTATTAGGAGCTTTTACGTATTAATTAATATTGTCATAGTTTGGAAAACTTATGTGTAAAGTTAAAAAAAAAAATTAAGTTTTTAAGTAGTTATGATAAAAAAAACTGAATTTTTTTTTGAGATCTGAATAAAATATGTAATAATTATAATGAAGGCGAATTAGTGTGAATAACTGCATTATAAAAAGCATTTAATTTTTTCTTTTGAAAAAATATTCTGATTATTACGATTTTTTTTATAGGACCCATTTCTTCATAATCTTAATTTGAACGTGCTAATTGAAACTTCGCGAGAAGCCATGATACTTTTAGAAAGTAAAGGAAGTTATCTTAGCAGTGATGAATGTGTAGGTAGTTTGTTTAAAGACCATATGATATTATTTATAAGTTAATAATAATCTCTCAGTATATAACTGCGATAATACGAAATAATTACATTATTATTATGTTTTAGAGCTTAAAAAAACATTAAGTATAAGTTGATTTACAAGTTAAATTATTATTTTAACGATTTTTAAAATATTTTTTATGAAAATTATTTACATTATTTTTTTCACTCTCGTTAAGTGCTTATGCCTGTTTTTATTATTATTATGAGTTTATCAGTACTTTGCTAATTATTATAGTATTAATACTTGTAGTATTTTTAAGTTTACAATCGAATAAAAACTTAATTAAGTATGAAAAGTAAAAAAGATTAAAAACCAATAATTACTATAATTGGGAATATATATTTAAATGTATATAAGTAAATTATTACTTTTTCTTAAAATAAAATAGTTCATTTAATAATACTTTTCTTTAAGCTTTTAGCAGTCTTTGGAGTCTATTATTAATTATATAAGTACTATTCTGAACTTTTTATATGTTTTAGTATTTATTACATAATAACAAGAGGCTTTAAAGAAAGTATAGCTTTCATGGTAGATAACAATAACAAAACTTACATGTTTATTTCTACTAAATTTCTTTTACTATTATATTATTGGTTTAAAATTAATTTTTTTTATATAACTGCTATTTTATTAATTTTATTTAGTCTATTTTTAAAAAAAATTTTATAAAGGTTATTCATTCAAATTACTTATTAGTTTTTTATACCAAAAAAAAATTTTAAAAATGCATTTATATAGAGCGAAAGTGAATATTCGGATAATTCAGAAACCATTCACAAGAAAAGCGTAAATATATAATTATAATAAATGTAACTTTATAATATCAGTGTTATAGTTTTATTGGAATTTAATATATAATATATGTGTTATATACGAAACGGCTTTCACCAAAATTTTTATATTATAAGCTTTCCGAATCGTTGGACGACTTGGACGCCGGCACCTTTGTTCTCAATACCGATTCGTTAAAACCCGCCGAAAATTTTACAAGGGCAAAATCTTTTTCTATAAATGGAGATGAAGACTACGAATCCTACGAGACAATGGCATACTATTATATAAGAAACTTTTAGAAATATCCTAATTTATATAAATTATTATTATTCTTGATATTGATATTTTGAATACTGTAATAATGTATAATTTCACTAATTTTGTTCATTAGTATTACAAGATTATTAATTATCGTTGATCCATCTTCTAATACTAAATTTAGTGCGTCTTTAGTATGATTAGCACTTTTTTAAAGAGTTGCTAATTTTGTAGGAGTTTATTAATAATATTATCTGTACGAACGAAAGTAACCTAAAAAAGTTTTAATATTAGTTGTAAGAAAAAATTATCCTGCAATAACTTGAAATATAATTATAATTGATAAGAAGTTACATTTGAGTGTTTTAAGCGCATTATTATCATTTTATAGAATTTTATGTTATAATCTAGTTTTTATATTATTTTTTGTTTTTTTTAAACTTTTATTAAATATGATAAATTTTATATTTATTAATCTAATATAAATTTATTTACTAAATATTTTTTGGCACTGTTCTTGTTCTTTTAGTAAATTATATATAATTTTAGATAAAATTTATTTTAATTTAACTTTTCTGCTTTAAATATTAATTATAATATCTTAATCTTGTCTAAATATTATTTTTTAGTACATGAACTTTTACGATTAATAGAAACATTAAAAGGAAAGATTATTCCTAATATAATAATAATGATAACTATAAAATATAAATAATAGAGTATTATTAACAGGACTATTTAAGGCAAAAATAAAATTTACTTATAGCAATAATACTTAAAGTAAATATTGCAATTAATTATAATAAATAATGCCAACTTCTTATAGGTGATTAACCGTAGAGACTCCGGTTCCTCGCTTGAAACTGCTACGATTGTACAAAAAAATAATACAATTGTTAATAAAGAAGAGCGCTTGAGCGACGTGCAAAAGTTGCAAAGGAAGCAACAGGAGTATATGGCAGAAATTTCACGGGATATTCCACGTAGTTCCAAGTCCCTCACAGATGGTTGGATTTTTTTTTTAAATAAAATTTTATTTTTTTAAAATAAAACTGAGAGCGAGTATAATTCTAATTAATAAGAACATTAAATTATCAAAGCAGTAGATTTAATACGCAGAAGAATATATAAGTTACTATAAATATTATTATTAAAAAGTAACTGGGTAATTCGTTACTAAATACTTGAACTCTTTATTGTATAAAAATTGGCCGATCCTTTTGTTATTATTTAAAATTTATATATAATAAAAACATGAGTAATGGACCTAAAAAAACTAGCTTAAATTATATACCAGTCAACTTATAAAAATAGGGAGAAAAATAAATGATCTTTTAATAAATAATAATTTGAACTAAATAATAAATTTAGAAAAATACAATTTTTAATAAATAAATAAAAAATAGTGGAATATAAAAAATGCAAAATAATAAATTGGTTAATCAGTTTTAAGTTAGAACTTTAAAAAATGTTGGAAAGACTAATAATCTTAATAATATTAATAATGAAACCAAACAATATATTTGTTTAAGTTTCAGATATTTAATCATAACAAAAAGTTAAGATAAACCTGCAGTTTTACTTTACTAACTTACATTTTTTTAAAAAACTTCTAAAAAATTAATTTTATTTAAATGAAATGAAAGTTATTAGTAGTACTTATAATAAAGTTACTGATCACTTATGTAAACAATTTAAAATTTATATAATTTCTTTCTAATTTTATTTGCCTCAAATAATACTGCTGTTAATAAGGTGAAGATGACGTCTTTTGTCCATTGGAAGAAGTAGTTTTTTTTAACTTTACTAAACTGTTTATATATAATTTTAGTTTACATACAAATTTATCTTATTCATTTTTTCTTTGTTATTTATAAAAATTTAGACATAACATTTTTGGGTTTTTTATCATTTTTATATAATTATAATAGTTTTTATAAGTGATTATTATTTTTTATATAAAGTTTTATTTTCTATGTACTTTTGCTATTATAGTAAAATATTTGATCCCTTTTTCTTAATTTTAGTATTTTTACGTTAAGTTTCTCTAACATTAATATTAATAATTTACTTGCACGGATTATACTAATATTTTTATTATTATTATAATTTTAAATATAGTAATAATAAACTCACTAGAGGATTTATTTTTAAAGTTATATCATTAATAAAGTTTATAAAAATGTTGAAAAGAATTCTGCGGTGCATTTAAAATATTGTTATTCATAGTAATATAATTTATTAGTATTATAAAGCATAATTTTTTTTAGTAGTTTACAAAAAAGTTCTACCTAGAATAATTTTATTTCGAAACTTTTTTATTTACGAACTTATTTTTTTATAATTATTAAACACAAACTTTAAAGTCTTTAACGCATATTTATCGTGTTAAATAAAGTCTCAAAAAAACAATATTTATATCAAAATAATTATCTACTTAATATTATAAACAAAAATAGTAAACTTTATAATTTCACATATTATTAAAAACTTTAATGTTTTTAAAAAAAATTTATTTGTGTTGCTGTATTCTTTTTTAATTATAAGCTTTTCGTAATATTTTTTTATATAACTTAATAAAAATTTTTAGCAACTTTTACTTGTGTTTTGGTAGAGTTCACCGCGTTTAATTTATAATTACTTGGATTTTCTTAGTACTGGACATCATACTTTCATAGTGAAGTTTAAATTTATTTATTTAATATTTCTTCGTATCAATAATATTATAACTTTTAAAAAACTTCATAACGTATTTCAAAAAACAGAATGCCAAATGTTCAGTGAGTTTTTATAAATTTTTTTATTTAAATAATTAAATTCATTATGTATTCCACAGTTTCCTAATTATTTCTTACCTCTCATTATATATTAAAGCCCTTATTTTTTCAAATTTAAATATATTTATTTAGCTGCAAAAATTAAGTTTAGAAGCCTTAAAATTTAAGCTTTACTCTCTCTGCGCACATCGTGATAAAGAGTTAACGCTTTTAAAAAAGAAATACGAACTTGAAAGGGTTGCAATCATGACGACCATTCAAAGAAGGCAAAAAACCGATCAAAAAGAAAAAGATTCAAAATAGTTATTAATAAAATAATTTAAAGAAAATTCAGTTATATTGTTTTAAAAAAAGGAAGTGTTTATTAAATAATCAAATTTTTTTAGTATTATTGCAAAGTTATTAGAAATGATGCTCAATAAGAACACGTGAACTCAACAGTCGAAAAAGCAAGCAAAAATTGAACAAATATTTTTAAAAAACAAGTAATAATTTTTTTAATAACTATCAACTGTGTTTTTGCGAATCAGTTGTATAATATTTTATACCTGAACAACTACTTTATCAGTGTTCGTTAAGGTAATATATATAATATTATATACAGTATTAACAACAAAATTTTAAATTCTTCAGTTTTACTTTAACAAAGCAAAATCTCTCTTTTACACAAAAATTTCATCTATTACTTGAGCTTTGCCTAAAGTTATAATAGTGTAAGAGCTATTAAATCAATATAAACCACAAGAAAATTATATATTTTTATTTAAATAAGTATTAAAAGGTAAATGAAAATTGTGCCTTGAAAGTTTTTCTTAATAAAAAACAGTGTGCAAGTAAATCATACATAATTTTAGATTTTATATACTTCAAAAAAGAAACTACAACTTTCAAAAACCAAAAAACTAAAGCGACTTAGTATAATGGAAAAGAAAAGTGTAAGCCTCCATACGTAGACCGAAATAAAAATTAAAGAGCACAAATAACTATATGAAGCGTTGCATATACGTAAATATTAAAGAAAAGATGGGCTCTCACAAAGAAACTTCCATTTTTTAGAACTTATTTAGATAAATAAAGTGAGGGGAACAGCTCTCATAAAAGGAGATAAACATGGAAACCACGACAAAAATAATATATCTTAATAATAAAATAATTTTAATAAAAAGAAAAAAACAGACGCAGTGAAAAAACTAACGACGACTTAAAAAGTCAGAACTTAAATAGAACAGGGAAACAGGTCCTACCGTAAAGCAAAGAAAAATACATCACGTGTATCACCATAATTTTTTAAATTAAAAAAAAAAATCAGATTTCTTGCCCACGTCCACTCTTTTCGAGAATTTCACTTTTCTAGTAAAAAGAGTTACCGCTTTTTCTGTTACTAATTACATTATTAATTTCTATTAAATTTTTTTTTTAGTGACCACTTTTGAAGAGCAAAGCCAGTATTTAGAACCTAGTGAAATCAAATTATTTCAGAGATGGGATATTAACGAAGTGGAGGTGGGAGATCTCTCGTTACAAGATTATTTAGTTCCTAGTAAAAAGTGTGCAGTTTTCTTCCCGCACACTGCTGGTCGTTACGCGGTGAAACGGTTTCGCAAAACGCAATGCCCCATCGTTGAGCGTTTATTAAACGCTCTTATGATGCACGGACGCAATAATGGTAAAAAGTTAATGGCTTGTAGAATTGTCAAGCACGCTTTTGAAATAATTTATTTACTTACGGGAAAAAATCCTCTTCAGTGAGTTACCTTAAATTTTCTCTCCTTTTTTTTATTTACTTTTTTGCTTGCGTGTTTCCACAGGATTTTGATTCACGCCATAATTGCCTCTGGTTGTCGCGAAGATTCGACACGCATCGGTTCTGCTGGAACTGTACGCCGCCAAGCCGTGGATGTTTCCCCGTTGCGCCGTGTAAATCAAGCACTATACTTGCTTACTTCGGGAGCTCGTTTAGCTGCTTTTCGTAATATGAAAACGATAGCCGAATGCCTGGCCGACGAGCTTATTAACGCTGCGAAGGTTTTTAATAATTTTTGTTGGGTTTTTAATTAAATAAATTTTTTTTTTATAGGGGTCCTCTAATAGTTACGCCATTAAAAAGAAAGATGAATTAGAGCGTGTGGCTATGTCTAATCGATAATTTAGATTATTATTAAATAAATTATTTTGGAGTAAAAAAAATTTCTACTTTTGTTAAGAGCACTTTTTTATTGAACATGTTTTTATAGGCTGGAATTACGTTGCCATATATTAATTATTTATATGCATAAATTTTAAGTTTAATCTAGATTATTTCTGTATATAAAAAATACAATAGATTAATTATAATAAAACCATTAATGATTAAATCTTCATAAGTACAAAAACAATTTAATAAGTCAGTCATATAGTCATTGCGCACAACCACGGCGAGTTAGATAACACACGCAGCAGTTTATTTTTGTCCCTCTGAAGCGAGGAGCGCTATTGCCGATAAGGCGCAGGTTTAGACAGGTGCATAATTCACGATCGGCCGAATGCACAACGCATATAGCCTTCGCTTATCTCGTAAAGAAAGTCTATTTTTTCTGCACAATAGAGGATACAGCATTTGAGCGTTTGCCTTGATCTTTTTCACCACGAAATTTCCATGCCGCTGAAAGTCTATGATGTCGACAGCACAAGGCGTTCCCTTGTTATAAGAAGGCCTTGCTTTTTGCTACTTTAAAGGAAAGTCCAGTTAGCGAGTGCGTCGAGCTAAAGTAATTTGTGCTGTCGTAGTAATGGGTGACCTTGATGTTGGACGAATTATGACATCGGCGTCAAGGTCGACCCGCGTAGGAGGGCGGACTAACAGAGGCATATCGCTCGTATAGAGGGTGGTCAGCAGGGGTGATAGAAGAGTGTCTTCCGGGACTCCCGCTTCGAGTTGGCGAGGCGGCGATAGCATAGCGCCACTCGCACGCTGAAGTCCCGAAAGTTTAGGTACGGCTTGAGCGCATCTCGAAGGATGCCCAAATCGTGAATTTGGCTTCGATACCTTATTAAAATGTTTTCATGCCTTTTATTGTAAGTGCACACTTCATAGCAGGGTGAAAAATTTAACAGTAAAACGTGTTCCGCCTCCTCCTCTTCCTAGTTTATGACTCGCTTTACACGTTTCCACAAGTCACCTTCGACCTCCCTACCATTAGATACCGAAAAAGGAACCCGCTTCGTTGAGTATAAACTGTAAATTACGCCCACAATTCTTAATACTAGCATGATTATTCATAAATATTACCTGTCGCTTAGCTCTTTTCTGATATACCAATGCAGGCCATTAACGCCTGTTCATTTTTAACAAGATCATTACCACTTAGATAAGGCGCCGAAGCAGTCAGATTAGTGCGTTGTCGTATAGCTATCTAAAAGGTGGGAATGCCCTCTTGAGTAATTCGGTTATTTTCTTTAATAAGCAAAATACCGAGAGAGCTTTTTCCGTGACCTTCCTTTACCAGGGTCGTCAAGAGATCCAGCGCACAGTTCTCTTGACTTTTGATAGTGAAATGCCATACATTTACTTAATGGTTTATACATTTGCATTAGAAATAAGGTGATATATCCATACTTTCCTATACCGCAAGTTTGCTTCGTTCATCAAGGCAAAAAGCACAAACTTTACCTCACAAAAGTTACCACCCTTATCTAAGTACAGTGTAAGGCGCATAAGCTGTACTTTATTTGCAATACTATATCTGGTATACATTTTGGTTTGGAAACTTATCACTATTTAAGCCCCCTTAGATCTTAATTTTAAAGTTAACAGCAAGTAAGCCATACACTACGTGTTACATGTTGTATGGTAAACTACGTGTAGTAGGGGTACATCGTTTTTTCTTTTAGTCAATGATTACTTAAATTGCTCCTAGTTATAACAGGTTAAATAAGTTCTATTCGTTTAAATTTAAAAGTAGGTTAAGTTAGTATTTTTCGTTATGAAGCAATGTTTTAAAAGGTTTTTGTTAAAATTTTAAGACTATTTATGCTTATAAATTAACAGTTTAACAGCTTATTTGTTTAAGGGCCGTTATGTTTTAATCACCGTTTAAAATAATATAAAACAGTCAAAATAAGCTATTAAGTAACACAGCACAATTTCAAAAACTTCTCACCTTTATTTATTTATTTGCTACAGTCGTATTACGTAAAATAACTTAAACTGCTTAACCTATATACCCGTAGATGAGAGGTTCAGAAGGATTCTCTCCCTGCAAGGAGGTGGCTTTTAAAAGTCATTGCTAATTAAAAATGAACATCCAATTTAAATTACTTTATTAGGACTTTTTTCTCAGAATTTTAGAATCATGTGAGGAAGCCTTCAATGACTTTATAAATATTATATTAATAATATAGATACTATAACCAATATTATTACTATTTGTTCATCGCTATTAACATAATTATTTTTTAGTAAAAATTTGCATTTAAATTTATTATCGAACATTATCGAACATATTAAGATGTTTCTGCCGTTTATATTTGGGAAGTGAGAGGGACTACAATTAGGGGATTAGCTAGTAATCTATTATATGACTTTCAAATGTTTTTATGCAGACCTCAGCTAAGCTCTTATAAAAAAATTTAAAAAATGGTTTCAGTTCGCATTCACGATATAATTGGAAGAGATTTATATACCAAGGAGCTCCTGTAGACATTCTTAAAAACTTATTTTGCATAAGTTGCGGTCTCCCTATGTTGAGGCCAGGGAAGAGCCCAAGCTACTGACGCATAACTCCTCACCGTCTTGAAATAGCTTTATAAATAAATAATTTTTTATCAAGGTTAAGGATACTTTTGCATATAAGCGGACATAAAGCATGTGTAATATTTCTAATTTTTTTAACCAAATGTCAATATGGTTCCATCTATTTAAGTTTGTTTCTATAATACTACCGAGGGTTGACTTAGTTATTTCCAGGAGAGGGGAATCATAAAAAAGAAATGAGTCTTGTAGTACTCTTTTCTTTCTTTTCTTTGAGATAAGAATGGAGTGGCTCTTTAAAGGATTAACGGTTACTTTGCACGTTGTTAACCAATCTTCAAATAAGTTAAAGTAGGATTGCGTGTATTTAATTAAAAGAAGGGGAGATTTTGAGCTGCTGTAGATAACAGTGTCATCGGCATATAACGCCAAGGAAGTTTGGGAGGTATATCAGACATGTATAATGAGAATAAAATAGGAGACAATAAAGATCCCGGAGGGACCCCAGCGTTAAGTAGTTTATAATCTAATACAGTTCCTACATGGGCCATGAAGGATCTACTGCTAAGGTATGATTTTATACACTATCGTTAATAATTGTTTCTATGCCTTAAATTTTTTCGTAAAAATCCTATTCTTTAATTAATAATTGGTTATATTGATCCCTTATATAAGTTTAGATTGAGATCTATTTAATGTAGTTTGTATTAGAGGAAATGCTTTCTTATTTTAGTCTTTAACGCTTTTTGAAGTTTAAGAATGCTTTGAACGATTTTGCTCGTGACCCCTTTTAGTGCAAAATAGTTTAAATCTTTATATGAAATTTTCATGATCACTCCACCATAGGAGGTTTTTTTAGTGTTTGAGTGACTATAAAGGATACTTTATTTAGAGACCTTAATTTAATAATGCGGAAACTTTCAATCGATAAAGAAAATGATGTAAACTGTCTTTTCGATCAAGGCAAGCCTTATACTAAGGTCGCTCATGAATGTGGTGTCAGTAAGGCCAAGATATCCGGATCAAACCCCAATATGATCCGAATCGTCCTCGCAATTAACCTGGGCGTCCAAATATCATGGAAAATCGGGATATAGCTCGACTTGTACGACAAGTGACATTGGGTGCAATTGAATCTGCACAGAAAGCTTCAAAAAATCATATAAACAACATTATATAGACCAATTTCAAGGTCGACTGTACGAGAGCATTGCATTCTGCTGGTTTCCATGCGAAAAAAAAAGTTAAACCCATTTGACAACCGTCGCAAGCGACTAAGATGAGTTTGCGAAGAAGTACGAAAATTTGGTCCAATTCTGACAGGGAAAAAAGTAATTTCTTCAGACGAGACCAAGTTCAATCGATATGGTTCGGATGGTATCGGCGGTGCTGGAAGAGATCGGGCGATAATCGAATACTTGATCGCCAGATGGTCCAAACGTACAAACATGTGGGAGAATCGATTATGATTTGGTCCTGTTAACATATAAGGGATCCGGATAATTGTAAAAGGTGACAGCATCATGCAAGCGCGCATCTAGACATTATTAAGAAAGATCTACCCGGAACATGCGATAGGTACGGCATTGGTGAAATGGTTTTTCAGAAGGATAATGCCCCATGTCTAACTGCACTATCGGAGAGATCATGACTCTAATTACAATCGTTCCAAGTGCTTGGCTGGCCTCCGCAATTTCCTGATCTCAGTCCCATTGAGCTTGCATGGGGCGCCTTGAGAGAAGATTGGGATTATACGAAATCAGCTCTTGCTAACTTGAACGAGCTTTAGACACGTGTACAATCAGAATGGGGGAATATAACATGGGATCAAACTACAATCCGGTTGCCAGTATGCCAAAGAGAATACAAGAAGTGATTCTGCCGAAAGGGAGCTATACTAATCATTAAAACCTCGTTTGTAGAATTAAATTTTCTACGTGCAAAGTTGTTTCTATAAACTTTTAAATTTACAAACTCATATTTTTAGAATATTAAACCTATTTAATATCAGGTATTAACAAAATGTAGCTAGGACATAAAAGTGCACTATGTATAAATTTTAAAGTAATCCATTGCGTTATTGAGAAGTTATTCTATATTAAATGAAAAAATGCAAAACATGGTATCAATTTTGCACGATAGTGTAATCCGTACAAAGTACGCTGGTAGTGCACATTTGATCATTTTGTATAGGGGACCTTTATGCCATACCTCGTCGAAAGCTTTCTGTATGTCTAAAAAACCATTAAGAATGGATTTCTTGTTATTAAGGGCATTAGTTGTGTTTTCCACCAACCTTAAGATTAGTTGAGTGGTGGAGTGACTCCTTCGAAAATCAAAATGACAAGCTAATATAAGGCTTTCATCATCAATAAATTTGTGCAACCTTAAAAGAAACAGCCTCTGCAATTTTTCCT